CTCAAGTGTGATACCCATACCTCACCGTTAGGGTTATAGTGAAGCTCTAACGAGTAGGCAGGCGTGAAGGTTTGTTAAGAAGCCCTGAAAGTGATTTCGGGTCGAACAACCTTTAGTGCAGATCTTGGTGGTAGTAGCAAATATTCAAATGAGAACTTTGAAGACTGAAGTGGAGAAAGGTTCCATGTGAACAGCAGTTGGACATGGGTTAGTCGATCCTAAGATATGGTAATTCCGTTTTAAAAAGGCGATTCATCGCCAGCCTATCGAAAGGGAAGCAGGTTAATATTCCTGCACTAGGACGTGGATAATTAATACGGTAACGTCAAGTGAACTTGGTGACATCAGTGAGAGCCCTGGGAAGAGTTATCTTTTCTTTTTAACAGTTATGATGTCACCCTGGAATCGAATTAATCGAAGATAGGGTGCCATTACTGGAAGAGCTTGACGCTTATGGTCGAGTCCGGTGCGTTCTCAATGATCCTTGAAAAACCAAGGGAAAGATTTATTCTCACGCCTAGTCGTACTGATAACCGCAGCAGGTCTCCAAGGTGAAAGCCTCTAGTTGGTAGAACAAAGTAGATAAGGGAACTCAGTTTTACTCCGTAACTTCGGGGAAAAGATTTGGCTCTAAGTGCTGGCATATTAGCAACAATGTGTTTAGCAATTAGAACTGGTACGGATAATTTATAATGATCGACTGTCCCTATCTACTATCTAGCGAAACCACAGCCAAGGGAATGGGCTTGGCAAAATCAGCGGGAGAAAAAGACCCTGTTGAACTTGACTCCAGTTTGACCTGGGGGAGGAAGCATTGAGGATGTAGAATAAGTGGGAGTGTTCCGGCACAATAGTGAAATACCACTACTTTTATCGCTTCTTTCTCTTAAAATTAGTCAGGTGGGGAGTTTGCTGGGATTACATCATTTTTTTTTAAGAATAGGTGGACGGCTTAAAGAGGTACAAGCCTCCCCTAACGAATGGTGTGGATGTATATTCCGTGGACCCTTTAGACCCTCGATGTTTGAGACTAGGGGTACCAAAAGAGTTGCGACAGGGAAATTGGCTTGTGGCAGCCAAGCGTTTGTGTTGTTAGCGACGTTGCCTTTGTGATCATTTAAAGTCAGTTCTTCCTATCATACTGAAGTAGAATTCAGTAAGCGTTGGATTGTTCACCCACTAATAGGGAACGTGAACTGAGTTCAGACCGTCGTGAGACCAGGTCAGTTTTAACCTACTGATGAAATTGTTGTCGCAATAGTAATTCAACTTAGTACGAGAGGAACTGTTGATTCGGATATTTGGTGATTGCACTTATTTGAAAGAATAGTGGTGCGAGGCTATCATCCGTTGGATAATGGCTGAACGAATCTAAGCCAGAACCCATGCTAGAAGTGACGATTATTACCTTCCTTATTGTTTAGGCGATTAAAAATACACTTTTCGGAGTCCTATAACATATTGTTGAGGTTCAAACCTTATGACGGAAAGGTCATGGGTGTGCCTTTGAATTGTAATTTTAAATATTAAGGAAGATAAATCCTTTGCAGACGACTTAAATATAGAACGGGGTATTGTAAGCAGTGAGTGACCCTTGTGTTGCGACCCGCTGAGATTAAGCCCTTGTTCTTAAGATTTGTTTTTCCCTTTGCTAATTTGGCAAGGTGTGTATCTTCTCTTTGTATTGCAAATTCTATGTTTATTAAGTTCTCAAATGAGCACTTGGCTAAACTGACTAAACTATTTAGTCAGTAATTAATTTCCATCAAATTTGAAATAATTTGGACAAGCCATTATGAGCCTCTCTTCACAATTATTGGCATCAAAAGATAAGGTAGACAAGAAAGTGCATCAGCCACTACATTGTTTTTCCTGGCCGATATTTTACCTTAAAAGCACTTGACTGTAAAACTTCCAACCATCAAGCTTGTCTACGCGATAAATTAGATTATGACTTAATAAACTCCAATGAAGCATTTGCCCTTCTAAATAAGTACATCATAATTTGATTCAGAACTCTGTTCTGCTGGTGATAATTTCCTTGATTCATATGCTATAGGTTGTTCCCTTGATATTGGCTCAGTACTGCTCCAATGGCAATAATTGATGCATCTGTAGTTCCAGTAAATGGTTTGGCTTGGGCTAATTCTTGACAGCTGCAATCTTTCATTCATCAACAGATATGCCTTCAGAAGAGATATAATGTCCTAAATAGATGATGGTGTTTCCTAAAAAGTTTGTAAAATTCGGTAAGTGTTCTTCTTGTGTCTTACTATAAATCAGCAATTTTATGTATGTCCTCTTCTTTGATATGAACTTGATAATATTGTGAGATAGTAAATCTTGGATCTATCAATTACCCGGTTAATATTGACCAATTAGAAGAATTAATCAATTGTTAATATTGTTGATAACAACCTTGATAACAACAACATAATAATAGCTCTTAATAAATATATAACTTTACATAAAATAGTCTTTGACTGTAAGTAACTAATAAACCCAGTGTGGTTGACCCCCCCCCCCCCCAGCCCTTCTAATGATTAATGGTCTGGCCAACCTTTAATTATTAGTTGGGAATCCTTTTAATTATTCAGATACATCTCAAGGGGACGCGCCTTTGGGATATAATTAGCTAATTAAACCAGTGACCGTAAATCAGCAAGTAGTAAGTGTCTCATATGCTTCTGCACTAAAACCATTGATTGCTCCAAACATTCTAATACTTGAAATTGTGTGATAAACCCAATGATGAAATTTAGGTATATTTTAATTCAGTTGCTGAAACCTTTTCAAATGGATCAACCCATTCATTAGGTGATTAATTAATTAATTGAATTATTCTCATAAAATAAAATATACATGAAAATCCTCCAAATTTTCTTCAGTAAATTCTGTAAGCCAACTAAAAAGATACATTCTGATCTTCTGTGATATTATTACTTATATCTTGATTTGTAGAAACTAAGTTATCAAACACAAATACAGATTGTTGCATGACTTGTCTATATTCAGATGCAGTAAAAATAGCAAGGTTATAAATCTCATTTCTGAAAATCTTGACATTCCTAAATCTTAGTATCTCTTTGAATCTTTCATTCATTAATTTAATAAATTAGTATTTAACTCTTTTAAAAGCTCAAATGTATATATATTGAAGTTGGTATTGAAATAAACCAATATCACAGTGATGAAGTTTTTCTGGTATAACTGCAGTGTATATTTCATTGAATTTTGAAAACTTTTGAGTTTTAATAACCTATTTGTTGATGAATTTTTGTCTTTCAAACTAATAATTCTACTGTGACTCTTTATTCCTTCATTCATAAGGAATATTATCTAAGGACAAGTAAATTGGGTGTTTTGATATTTTTCCAAGTTTATCACACAAGCTCAAATCAGAATACAATATAATTGAGATAAGTTTGGATCCAGGAAATAAGATTCATGTGCCTCTTTCCACACAATTAAATGTTAACAGCATATTGATTTAAAATATTAGTTTTTGGATACGAAATTGTGATTGGCTAATTTAATTATTTAAACTTTTGAAAAAAAAAATTAAAAATTTAATAAAATAAAAGAATGCTATTTCGCCAAATAATGCAAATTCTATCAAAAGAAATTCAAATGCCCTTTCACAATCTACAGGAAAAAAAAATGCTGGTGTCAATTCACTTTCTATTAGAAGAGAGAAAATGCAAATACTACTAATGTTGCTAGTTCATTATCTACTAAGATGAAGAAGAAGAATCAACACTTGGGTCTTTTATTGAAATAACTGATCTAGAAAGTCACAATATGTTTTTGAAAAGAAAGGAATTGTGGGAAGATTTAGATTTTGAAATCACAAAAAAACCAAAAACTATTATAGGTTTCTATATAAATGTCCTTTTTGCATTTAAATATTTTTAGAAATTGGTTCTGCTATGAAATAGATAATGTTAAAAACCTTGTAAATCAAAATTCTAAATTATTGGAGCTTGCATTAAAAACCAACCAAGAAATAAAAGATAATATAAAGAAAATACAATGAGAAAAAGATGGTGGATGGTGGAAAGTACACAATGGCACTTTGGGGGTTTTGGAACAAGCCCCATGGTATTGTTGGGTGGTTTTAAATGATTCTGCTATATATTTTTTTTAGCTTAAAATAAATCTAACCAAAAAACGATTCCTTTTCATTTTCCGCGTACCTTGAATTACAATTGGTTTAAATTTTCGTTGTACTTTTAATCGGATTTTGGGTATAAAAAATGATTTCTTATCGGAAAACAGCCTACGGGAAGCTATAGAATCCTTATTCATCCTATTATCTTTAAGCCGTTTTTGCTTCCTCTAAAGCCTAAAAAGATATACATTCTAGAAACCTAACCAAAAAATCTAACCAAAAAATTTTTCGTAAAATTAATAGGTTTTTTATGCCCTAAAGCATTTTTAACAGCATCTCATAATCTAAGCAAAAATAGCTGTTATCTTTTTTTTACATACCAGGAATAGCCTCAAAAGCATTTTTGCAAAAAAATTGTCCTTGGAAAAAAACAGATAAAAACGGCTCAGAGCAAATTCCTAATAAACAAAATTTATAACGCACTAAATCTAACCAAAATTTTCCTAAACTAAATAAGCTTTCTCACGCAATTTGTTAACATATCTAATCATATAAAATCCACGTTTATGTAAAGCACATCGTCCACAAGCAGACCCAGTAGGCTTTCCACAATCAGTACAAGGAATATGTTTTTTACTTCTATAATGATGTCGACAACCTTCAGGCCTAATGCAAGGATTATTGCAAGTTTCTCCAGAATTATGAAGATAATTACATGTATATTCTGCTATCATTTTGTAAAAAGGCTATACAGATAATCATATATTTTTTATGTTTAATAAAAATTAACACTAACTAAATATTTAACAAATAAAATTTTTAAATTGAACAAATATATACACATATATATAAAAAAAGAACGTTGCAGTTAGATTTATTAAACCATAAAATGTCCGATGCATACCCAGAATACGTTGAAGAATTTAGTATTGAAATTTCAGATTTTGATCCTATTAGCCCTACATGCCATATACCTCTACCTGATACCATGCCAAAATGTAATAATGGAGTTATTAATATCAAAACAATGATGAATGGTGCTTTGGATGGTGCGTACTTGGAGCCTTGCACCTGATCAAAGTTCATCCAGAAAGAAATCCAAACATGGAGGGCATTCCAATTCCGGTGCCAGTATCTACTCCTGTATACCAAAAATTTGAAGAAAATAATCCAAAAATTAGTCTTTGTGTGTATAAATGGTCTAATGAAAATAAATGCCTTGAATTCAATTATATATCTGAAAGAAGAAGCTCGGAATTTAAGGAGGTAAATCTTCTGGTTATCTCAGAATCAGATGAAATAGAAAATCCACGCTCACATTATTGTATTATTAAAGATCTCCATAGACTAGTTTATAATCATAGTAAGCATAAAGGCTGAAAATATCTCTGCCGATATTGTCTTCATGTATATTCCAGCAAAAAAGGATTAAATGAAGTGCCACAGGAGCCAAAAATTCCAAAATTAGAAAGGAGCATCAAGACTTTCTATAACCATAAATGCATGCAAACAAACCCCTACCACATAATTTGGGATTTCGAATGTTTAACTACAAAATTAACTCCAGAAGAAGATGCTCAATAACCCGCACTGAAAAAATTCAGCGACATATACCTTGTGGATATAGTTATGTAGTTATTCGTATGGACAGTTTTTGTAATTATTAAATTATAAGTTATGATTTATAGAGGACCTGATGCATTAGAAAAATTTGTAGATAAATTGGAAATAGAGCTAGCAGAAATTCAGACAGATTTATCCACACCTGCAGAAATGGTTATGGAACCTGGGGACTATACAAGGCATAGAAATAAGGTTGTGGGTGAAACCTCTTAATGAATGTCGAAACTCTGTCGAAACTCTAATGAACAATTAATGTGTAACCTGTCAAAACTCTGTCAATTGATTTCTGGAGGAGTTTCTCCTGCAACCTTACATAGAAAGGCAACGGAATGCTGGATATGCAAGAAAGATTTCCCAAACCAGAAAAAGGTTAAGATAATGGTATGTTGCCCTAATACTAGAAATTATGTAGGGGCATCTCATAGAGAGTGTAAAAATAAAAACGAAATAATTGGACCAAAATGGTATCAGCAACCAAGCATAGGAGATAATGTAGCATTCAAAGAGGCTAAAGAATGCATGTATTGTAAAGAAAAGGATATGCTAGATATAGGGCTAACAAAAGTCCGGGATCATTGTCATATTAGCGGTAAGTATAGAGGTCCTGCTCACAGCAATTGCAATAAAAAATTACAAATGGGACCATTTAAAACCAAAGTACCTCTTATCTGTCATAATTTCCGTGGATATGATTCTCACTTGCTTATAGAGGTTGTTGGCAGATTTACTTCTAATAAGCTTAAATGTATTCCAGAAAATATAGGCAAATATAAAGCTATGGATGTAGGTCAATTGCGATTTTTAGATAGCATTCAGAATATGAATATGGGCCTTGATAAGCTTGTTGCGTCTATGAGTAGCAATCTAGAAAAATTCCCCCTAACTATAAAGCATTTTACTGATAAAGGCTGTTCATTAGACCAAATCAAGTTTTTATTTCGAAAAGGAGTTTTTCCATATGACTGGACCAAATCTTGGGATAAATTCAAAAAAACAGCTCTACCGCGCAGAAAGGATTTCTATTCTCTACTTAGCCAGCAAAACATTAGTAATGCAGACTATGTCTATGCCCAAGAAGTCTGGCAAAAATTCGAAATGAAAACTTTTGGCAAATATCATGATTTATATCTTGAAACAGATGTACTCCTACTTGCAGACATTTTTATGAATTATACCATTATGTGTTTGAAAGATGATGGCTTAGACCCATCCCATTATGTTTCAGCCCCCAGTATGTTTAATGATTCCTTATACAAAAGTAGCAGGGCAGAAATAAAACTTCTGACAGACCTAGATCAATATATGTTAGTAGAGAGAGGCATTCGTGGGGGCATGTCTATGGTTAGTCAACGTTATGCCAAAGCTAATAACCCGCAATGTCCTGATTATGATGAAAGCAAGCCGAATTCATGGGTTATGTAAGAGGATATGAATGCCTTATATTCTGGCACCATGATGCAATATTTACCAACAGAAATTTTAGGTAAGGTAGCCCCCTGAGGAAATTCCTAATATTTTAGAAATTCCAAATGATGCTGAAGAGGGCTATTTACTTGAAGTTGATATGGAAGTTCTGTTAAACTTGCACGATTTATTCAATGATAACCCATTAGCACCTGAAAAAGGTGTTGTACCTAAAAACTGGCTTAGTCCATATAATGAAGACTTGGTAAATGATTAGGAAATTGGTGGAGGAAAATATGTATTAGGAGAAAAGCTACAGTTACTGGAAAAAAGTATCGCTTCACCTGATGATCGGCGAAAATAATTGAATAACTCCGGTGATATAAAAAGTCATTATTTTACTAATCAAGTCGATGTTGTGTAATAACAAAAAAATCTTTTCCATAACGAATTCTATAACAGACTCAAGTTCCACAAGATTCAATTAATTATTGGTAATTTTATAATCTTTAAAAGACAAAAAAAAATTTCCGGAAATTTTCCAAAAAACTTTAGATTAGAGCCAACTTTAGATGTCATGTTTTAACACATTTTGGGAGCTTAGTAAATGTTGTTTCTTTTATCTTCAAAGGAATACTTATAAAACCTCGCAATTAATTGTCAAATATTGGTCAAGAATCGAACTGAAACGTAAAAATAATTTTTAAAAAGTTTACTAGCTATTTGCACAATATTTTACATATTAACTCATTATAAAATATACACTAAAAGAATCAAAAAAAGATAGATAATTTGGTTATTTATTAGTATTTTGTCGGGTTTCCTTTGGAATTAATTACAGCTGCAACTCTTCTTGGCATAGAATTAACTAAATTTTGTAAAAAATTACAGTCAAGCTTCTCCCACTCTTCATTTAAATAAATAGATAATCCTTCAATATTTTTTGGATGTGGTTTTCGATTATGAACTGCCTTTTCTAAATAATCCCAAACATGTTCAATTGGGTTG